GTCGTGCAATGCCTGCGGAGGACAGAAGAGGCTATTGGATCCCCTAGAACTGGAGTTACTGATCGTTGTTAGCTGCCATGTGGGTGCTGGGATTCGAACCTGGGTCTTCTGAAAGAACAGTCAGCGTTCTTAACTGCTGAGCTATCTCTCCAGACTCAGGAAAACATTTTATAGGGTCTGGAGAGAGAGCTCTGTGGTTAAGAGCACTTACTACTGTCAGAGTTTATGTTCCAGCATCTACATCTGGTGCTGTAACTCCAACTCCAAGGGATCTCATGTCCTCTTCAGGCCTCCACAGGCATCCACATACATATTAGCATATACACACACAAAAATATTTTTAAAAAATAAGTTTTACTACTCAAAAATTTAAAACTTGGGGCTGGAGAGATGATGACTCAGGTTAAGAGCACTGGCTATTTTTACAGAAAACCTGGGTTCGATTCCTAGCCCATATGTGGTAGCTAACAACTGTCCATAACTCAGTTCCAAGGGATCTCTTCTGGCCTGCACAGGCATTGCATGACTATGGAACACTTATATACATGCGGGCAAAACACTGACACATATATAAAATAAACAAATAAATACTTTTAAAAGTAAATCAGGCTCTGAGCACAGAACCAGCTTATGCTTCTGACCCATGGAAACCAAGAAATAATAAATATTTTGGAGACTGATTTTAAAAAAAAATCAAAGTGACGAGCTGCCATGTTTTATCTATAACATTAACAAAACCAGCCTGAGAGAGAGCTCAGTGGTTAATGCACTGGCTGCTTTTGCAGAGGACTCGGGTTCAATTCTCAGCACCTACATGGTGGCTAACAACCATCTGTAACTCTTGTTCCTGGGAATCTGGCACCCCCTTCTGCCCTCCTGGGCATTGCATCACCCAGGGGCAGTTATATACGTACAGGCAGTACACTCATACACATAAAACAAAATATAAAAAAATTATCAAGGCCAAACAATTAGTAATATAGAAAGTTAATGATAGAGAAAAACAAGCATGTTCCTGTATTGTGAATAGAAGGGGATACGTAGTCTCTTTGGTGACATTTTGACAATGTGTGATATTTAAAGCATGTTTCTGTAGGCTGGAGGATGGATCAGCAGTTGAGAGCAGGTACTGCTCTTGGAGAAAACTGGAGTTTGGTTCCCAGCAGCTACCTGCCGAAGATGGCATTTCTGGACTCTGCAGGCACTGCATGCGCATGCATACCTTCAGCATGCAAACATACACATAAATCTTTTAAAAAATCTATTTATTTATTTAGGTCTTTTAAAATTATTATTATTCTTATTTTATGTGTATGAGTGTATTGCCTGCATGTATGTGAGTGCACTTGTGTTGTGCATTGCCGCGGAGGTCAGAATAGGGCTTCGGATTCCCCTGGAACTGGATTTAAGGACGGTTCGTAGCCACCATGTGGGTGCTAGGAATCGAACCTGGGCCCTCTGCAAGAGCAGTCAGTGCTCTTAACCACTGAACCATCTCTCCAGTCCCTTATTTAGGTCTTTTTGAGACAGGGTCCCCCTGTAGCCCCAGCTGGCCTAGAACTTGCTGTGTAGACCAGGCTGGCCTCAGACTTACAGAGATCCGCCTGCCTCTGCCTCCTGAGTGCTGGGATGAAAGGTGGGTGCCACCATGCCCGGCCTCTTTTTTTTTTTTTTCTCCCTCATCAGTTTAATTTTATTCCTTTATCTGAATACAACATAATTGGTTTCTTTCTTCTTTTTTTGTTTTCCCTGTCTTGGGCTAGGGCCTTGTGCATGTTAAACACATGTTCTACACTGTGCTGGACTTACAGACAAGTCCAAGCAGTTATAAAACAGAACAGTCTGATGGGCTACATCACCTGCACTTGTTTGTCTGTCTTCTGACTTAGATCATGCTGTGTCACTTACACCCTTCATTCTGCTTATCGGACTATTCTGAAAGATGCCAGATGTTTTCAGTCTTTTATTTTACCATATTTTATATTTAGTGTTATGTTCACATATATGCTATTTTAATTAACTATTTTAGCATGTATCACTAAAAATAAGGCTTTTCTTAGTGCTATATTTAACCCTTATATACAGTAAAATTGAATTTTTGGTGTAGAATTACATACATTTTTAGGGTTCTTATTGTAAAATATACAGAACTCACCATCTTAACTGAATATTCAGTTTTGTGACATTAAGTACATTCTGATGTGCAGCTATCACCACTCCCACCCTTACAGCTTAGCCATTTCCCAAACTGAAATTCCATCGATTAAACACCACGTTGTTATTCTTCCTTCTCAGCTCTTAGCAGTTGCATAGGACTTTCTTTCTCTGTGAATCCAACCTCTAGAGACCTCACATCTCTGCCCTTTTGTATCTGACTTACTTCATTTAGCATAGTAGATGTTCTGGCATATGTCAGAGTTTATTCTTTTCTTTTTCCTTTTTTATGTTTTTCTGAGGCAGAGTCTCTCTGTAGCTCCAGCTGACCTGGAACTTCTGATGTAGGTCAGACTGGCCTCGATCTCACAGAGCTCTGCCCGCCTCTGTCTCCTGAGTGCTAGAATTAATATCAGGTGCCGAGTCCTTTTAGCTGTATGTGTTTTAATACATATGTAGATTTGTGCATACTACCACCAAAATCTGGGTGCAGAACAGTTTCATCACAAAATCTCCCTTTGCTCTTCCTTTGTTAGTAAACTTTAGTAAATTTAACAGGAGCAGAGTAAATCCTGAAAGAACAAAATGTAAAGGGAAAAAAAGATGTTTAAATATAGGTGACTGTTTTTTCATTTTTAGGCAGGGTTTCCATATGTAGCTCAGGTCTTGAACTTGATACCCACCTATTTTACCCTCCCCTAGCACTGGGATTACAGGCACGTGTCACCAGCCACTTGGTTTTACCTTCTTTTTATAGATGATATGCAGTGAATTGTGATATACTAACAGCTCTACCTTAATCTGCTGAGAGAATTTTCTTGCCCAGAGTCTTCTCTTAGGGCTGCCCGCATCCAATGACTGCCCTGTGGTTACAAAGGGTTCCTTTACTCCCACTTAGTTAACTCCGGAAAGCCTTCCTAGCTCCAACATTTCCTGTGGTCTTGACTAAGGCCTTGTTGAAATCATTTCTGAATGCAACTTTTTTCTTTGCCTACTCTTTTCTTCTCTTCCACAAGTGTTTTCCTAAGAGTGCTCCCTAATAAATTCCTTAAATGTTATCCTGCTTTTTAGAAGCAGAGAAGCCCATTTATAATTCATTTTTATTCATTTGCATCAGTAAATGCAGTGTAAAAGTATTCAATTTGAAGACATTTTTATATGTCAGAGCCTAGGAATATTATCACCATTTAGATAGTAAAATTTTTTGGACACAAGTGTGAAAACTACTAGGTATGCGTGTCTTGTGCTTTTCTTACAGTTCTGAGCAATAAACAGGTATCTTCTAGAACAAAAGTATGTGCACAGGATTCATGAGGCACTGTTTTCAGTTTGTGCAGAAGCAGTGACGTTAATTTGCTTGTCTTCTCTTCAATAGAACCACAGAATAAGAGAACTCCAGACTTGCCTGATGAAGAACACGTGAAGGGAGAGATCAAGGAGAACGGTGAAGCAGTCAAAAAGCTGTTTGAGGAAGCCACTCGGGAGCTTGAGGAAGTTGTGGTATGGTAACTAAACTCACTTTCCCTCCCCTCCCATTCTGCTTTGGTTATCACACTACTTTTTTCATCTGCCAGGTCCAGGAAGCTAACAGAAGTTCAGGATGAAGGAGGAGAGAAAGCGGGAGTGAGCTAGGCTTTGGGCTTCACAGACTTGTAGTTTTGGGCAGGACAATGTGAATGACGGGGGGAAATCAAATCTAATAGGAGCAGTTACATTTTAACAGTCTAGGGATCCTGGTTTAAACACTTTGATTTCAGTATGCTTTCCAAAGTTAGAACTGCATATTTATACTTTGAGAATGTTTCTTGCTTCTCAGGAGAATAAATCTAATTTTAAAAAGAATTTAATCAGGCATTTTGATTTTTGTATGCTGGCTGAGAGCTTTGGGGGGAATATTTTTGCTCTTCTGAATTCAGTCCACCTTTGAACACTCTATTGGAATCCCATAATAATAATGGCTGTTGAGAAAGGCGGGAGCTACAAAATAATGATGGGGACTAATTTTAAAACCCAAATTATATTTGTGTATCTTTTCCAAGAATAAGAATCCTGTGAATTAAGCTTCCTTTTTAAAAGAATATTAAAAATTAAAAAATTTATTTATTGTGTATGGGTCGCGGGGAGCATGTGCCTCAGTGCACGTGTGGAGGCCAGAGAATAACTTGCAGGAGTCAGTTCTCTCTGTCATGTGGTCTTGGGGATAGAACTCAGGTCATCAGACTTGTTGCAGGTACCTTTTCCTGCTGAGCCATCTTGCTGACCCTGAATTAACATTCCCTATTAACATAAAAGAAAGTGGTTAGGATTCATCTTTTAGTTACTTCCTTTCTGCCTTCCCTCCTTCCCTCCTAGGGTGTCCTGTAGCCCAGGTTGGCCTTCATGCCCAGTTTAAATATAATTGGTGTATATGTGTCTGAAAGAGAGAGAGAGAGAGAGAGAGAGAGAGAGAGAGAGAGAGAGAGGCTGAGAGGCTGAGACTGACTTAAAAGGTATGGGCCATCACACCTGGCCTTAAATGCAAGTTTTGTTGTTCTTGTTTATCTTTCTTTCAGTACTGAGGATTGAACATAGGGCCTGACACATGTAATCGACCACTAAACTACATACCAAACCACCTTTTCCTTTTTCTTGAAGACATTGATTGGCTTTGTGGTCGTGGTGGTACATGCCTGTAATTCCAGCATTCGAGAAGTGAAGGCAAGAGGGTCAGGAGTTTAAGGTCGTTCTTGGTTAAATTATGAGTTCAAAGTACCTGGGTTACCCTTTCTCAAAAAATAGTAATAATTTTTTTTTTTGGTCTTTTTGAGACAGGGTCTCCCTGTAGCCCCAGCTGTCCTGGAACTCACTATGTAGACGAGGCTGGCCTTGAACTCAGAGAGATCTGCCTGACTCTGCCTCCCAAGTGCTGGGATTAAAGGCGTGCGCCACCACACCTGGCAAAAAATAGTAATAATTTTTAAAAATGAAAAAGAAAGGCTGGATGTGGTGGCGCAAACCTTATAATCCTAGCACTTGGGAGGGAGAGACGTGGATCTCTGTGAGATGGAGGCCAGCCTGGTCTACATAGTTCCAGGCTAGTTGGGGCTATAGGGAAACCCTGTCTCAAAAACAAAACAAAACAAAGACATTGTCTTGGTGGGTGTTGTATTGTATGCCTATAATTGCAACACTTGGAAGTCAAGGAAAGAAGATCAGGAGTTAAAAGTCAGCCTCGGCTACATAGCAAATTCAAGGCCAGCCTGGGCTATATTGTGTCACTGAGTGACCAAAACTGGCCTTGAATTTATGGGTGATCCTCCTGCCTCAGTCTTCTGAGTGCTGGGATTACAGGCATTTGCTACCATATCCAGCTGGGATTCAGTCCAAAAGAGGAAAATGTTTCTGTAAATGGTGAGTGAAAGAATACACAGGAATTGACAGAATTTAGGGATTATTGCCTTTTGTAGTTTGCATTTTGTTTTATTATGTTGTTTATTTTCCATCAACTGTCAAACTCTCAAAAGCTCTCAAATACGGCCCTTATATTACATGATTATAATATGCCTAAATGTAATGTGACTTGTAAACCCTAATCTAGTCATACAGCAATGTTGGGTACTTAGGTGCGGGTATTGGTAGGCAGTAGAGAATCAGTGACAAACAGAACATATTCGTGGGGCTGGAGGATGGCTTGGTGATTAAGAGCACTGGCTGCTCTTGCAGGGCACCCAGGTTCAATTCCCAGCACCCACAAGGTGGCTAACAACTCTCCCTAACTCCAATTCCAGAGGATCTGATGTCCTCTTCTGGTCTCCATAGGCATTGCATGCATGAATGCACCTGTATACATGCTAGCAAAACACACTATTACTTTTTTATTATAAGTAAATAAATAATTAAAATATTAAATAATGGCTGGAGAGATGGCTCAGCGGTTAAGATGCCTTTAACTCCAGTTCCAGGGGAATCCGAAGCCCTCTTCTGACCTCCGCGGCATTTCACAACATGGGCGCACTCACCTACATGCAGGCAATACACTCATACACATAAAAATAATATTTTAAAAAATTAAAAAAAAATTAAATAACATATGGTTCATGCTCTTATGGACTTTGCAATCTGAAAGCAAAGCATGCTTTTAACAAATCATGTAATGAACAAGTGTACCCGTGTGTGTGTGTGTGTGTGTGTGTGTGTGTGTGTGTGTGCGTGCACACATATATTTTCCATATTTTAATCAGTTAATTATATATTATATAGACAACACATACCACCCTTCCATGCATTATACATATGTATGGATACATTTCAACATGAATAAATTTTAAAAGTAACATAGCATGTTAGAGGACCTGAGGGAGTCCTTTGTGATTGGTGTGCAGAAAGCGCAAGGAAGTGTGGTAGTTGGGAGACCCCTGCCTATTGCAAGAGTTCAAGGTTTAGTAATTAGGAACTGGTCTTCCTCATCATTCTTTACAGGTGGATGAGAGCCCTGATTTTGAAATACATATAACAATGTGTGATGATGATCCTCCTACACCTGAGGAAGATTCGGAAGCACAGCCTGAGGAGGAGGAAGAAGAAAAAGTTTCTACACCAGAGGTGGGAACTGCCATTAAGATCATCCGGCAACTAATGGAAAAGTTTAACTTGGATCTATCAACAGTTACACAAGCCTTCCTGAAAAATAGCGGTGAGCTGGAAGCTACTTCCTCTTTTTTAGAGTCTGGTCAGAGAGCTGATGGTTATCCCATTTGGTCCCGGCAAGACGACTTAGATTTGCAAAAAGATGATGAAGATACTAGAAATGCATTGGTCAAGAAATTTGGTGCTCAAAATGTTGCTCGGAGGATTGAATTCCGGAAGAAATAATGGAGAAGAGAATAACAAGGGTGGGCAGATGAGGGTACAGAACATTGTAACCATTGAAATTGACTACTGCTGTTCTGCGAGTCCCAGAGTTTGTAGCCAAGCAGTACCATGTAGCAGGAATAGTTAAAAGCTGTATTAGCGCTGTCCAAGGCAAGAATCGATGTGTTTATGATAGGAAAATCTAAACCAGAGAGGTTGGGCTGTACAGTGGTAACTCTTTGTTGGCTGTAGCCCTGCTATATTGTGAACAGGAGCCTAGTGACAAAGTCAAAGGAAGGAAATTAAGAGACATGGTTCTTCACTCTTCATGAGTAGCAAACTCCCCGTCCTTTGGCAGAGGTTCCTTTAGATTGGGTATAGTAAATCAGGAATCTTGAAATAAAGAAATTTAATTACAAAGATTTTAACATGGACTGTCCCAGAGCATTCCATCCTCAGTGAATTCTGGTTTCTGTTGCTTTGAAAAATCCCATAATTACGTGTTCGCTTAGTATTTGAAGGCTCTGCTCCTTTGCTGCTGTTTTCTTAGAGTTCTGAGTCAAGTCTTTAGTATGTATTACCTGCAGTTTTACACAAAACTGTAGGCTGGTAGGGATGTCTAATCTTTTGACATTCTGACATGATGTCATCCACAAAGTTCATACTCAAGAACCATGCAATCAAATTAAAAAGTAAAAGATTCTGTGTTTTAAGTTTATAATTTATATTGTGCTTTCATAGCTATCCTCAGTCACATGGGGGCTGCTGATTGGTTACTGTTAATTGTGATGTGTTTTAAAAAATTTTTATTGACCATAGTTTTCTGCTGAAAATTGTTCTAAACTTAAAAACAAGTGGATTGGCTCCACTTTGTTGTATTGCTTTCATGACTGAAAATAAAGGTCACCTTGTGTTTGAGTCTTTTCAGTAAGTGTTTCTTTGTTTTTAAGACAAAACAAAAAAGTAGGTAAATTTTCATTTTAGAACTAATAGAAAATAAGAAGATGCTCCTTCTAGATAGAACAGAGGGAGGATGTGGACTATGAAAAGTACAGGTCAGTTAAAGGGCCAAAGAGAAGAGAAGCAGCAGGTGTGTTCAGGTGTAGAGCTCTACCCATACTCCTCCAGACAGAGCCTTTCAGCACCTTCTACTAACGAGTCTTTTTAACTATCTGAGGTGCTCTCTACCTAAAGTGATATTGCATTAGTCTTGAGAGTTGTCTTTAGGTTATGGTGAGTGGTGACTGGAGGGTCGTCATCCCTTGAGCTTTGCCAGCTTTTAGAATTCCCTAGGAAAATTATTTTCCATAGAATATATATTCTGAATAGATTTCCTTTTTTCGTTTGATGGTTGGTTGTTTGTTTTGGTCTCTGTATTTCCCTCCTAGATTTATCTTGGAATCCTCAGCTCTCTGAATTTTATTTTCTTCTTGAGACAGGCTCTTACTATGTCTCAAACATTTTCCATGCAGTTTACTTCTGGTAGAATCGGGCATAAATGAAAGTGTATCCTTTTCCTGAGGATATGGCTTTTCCTAAGGGTGTGGTAGGCATATGATAGACTTCCAGTAATAAAACTGCCTCACTACAGTAGTAACTTAGATGAGAATTAGAGGGGTTATGTGGTAGGCATGTATTTAAAGTGTGGTCTCCATTTCAATAGGATGCCAGCGTAGTTAAAAATTCCTGCTTTAAAGCTGGGCGTGGTGGCGCATGCCTTTAATCCCAGCACTTGAGAGGCAGAGGCAGATCTCTGTGAGTTCAAGGCCAGTCTGGCCTACATAGTTCCAGAACAGCTGGAGCTACAGGGAGACCCTGTCTCAAAAAAACAAAAAAAAAAAAAAAAAATTCCTGCTTTAAGATATGTGTTGTTTTAGGATGTTCATACCTTAGGAAAGTTATCATCTGGATTTACAGGGCTAGAAATCTCAGTTTTGTCAAATATTGTGCAAAGGAATTTTTTTATTATATGAAAGACATTTATACCAAAACACAGCAGTTTACAGTGCTTATTATAAACCAGTGACTTATGACTTACCTGTGTAATTTGTCTGATTATATCATCTCTTCTGCTGGAAGTACAGGTGGGGAAAATTTTTTGAAATCCTTTTAGAAGTACAGATAGAAACAAAATGGCTGATGACATTGAGCTGTGGATGCACTTTTTGTTTGTTTTTTATTACAGTGTCTCAGTATGCAGCACTGGCTGGCTTGGGACTCACTATGTAGACCAGGCTGGCCTTGATCTCACAGAGGTCCACCTGCCTCTGCCTCCTGCTGGGATTAAAGACGTGCCACCATGCCAGGCTGTGGCTGCACTTGCTCTTAAGTCAGGATACTTTTCTCTGGATTAATTTTTGTGTTACATATGTGTACCATGTATGTGAGTGCCTGTAGAGACCAGAAGAGGACATTGGATCCCCTGGAACAGGAATTACAGGCTGTTGTGAGCTGCCTGACATGGTTGGTAGGAATTATATCATCCTCTGCAAGAGCAGTACCTGCCCTTAACTACTGAGCCGTCTTTCCAGCTCCTGTCTGTCATTTCTTTACTTTTGTCTCGCTTTCATGAGGTGTATACTGTTGTAATCTGTCGTCATACTGCATAATAGAACCAGAACTGCATTCTCTTTAACTGTGACTTTGTACCTGTTAACATTTCCTCCATTTCCTACATCATCTCATGCCCAAATCAAACTATTTACAACTCTAGTCTAAAAATCCATTAAAAAGGGATATCATGTTGTTGGATAGGGTTGTCCTCTGAATGACCAGCAACAGTTAGATGTCTTCTCTAGCTCCCCCACCCTTACTTCAAACTGGTTGGACCCTGACTTTCTATAGGAAAGGAGGGGCAGAAGAGACAGTCACCCCTCCCACCCAGTCAGTCAGCCTTAACTGCATGAGGGGGCAGGACTAAGGATAGACATAGGGGAAGCCAGAGAGGAAGAGGGGGCTTCACTATCTTGGACTGGCAGCCACAGGTTCAGGAAACTGTAGCCGAGATGTAGGGAAACAAGGCCCAAGTGTGCCCTTACCTTTGTAAGTTCCCCTCACCGCCATCATACACTGTTACTAAGCCCAATAAATATTTTTATTCCCTAAACTAGTTTGGAGGAATATTTTCTCGGTTTGTCGTGAGGACGGTGGGAGGAGGAAGCCACAAATGCACCTCCCAGCAGTAAATTTGACATATACATGTCATTGGCCACTTTTTTTTTCTAAAATCCAGGGCCTCCTGCACCATAGGCAGTGCTCTTAACTGCTGAGCCATCTTTCCAACCCCAAATTACTTTTTTTCTAAAATCCAAAAGCAGGTTTTTATACTCCTTGGTGCTTATGTTAGTTCTTAATTGGACTGCCCCCCCCACCTTTTGGTAGTAGGGATGGTGAACCCAAGGTCTCCTGCACAATAGATAGTGCTCTTAGTGGTGAGCTGTATCCTCAGTCCTCTATTTTTTATTTTGAGATAGGAGCTCACTAAGTTGCCTGACCTGATCTCCAACTCTCTGTGTAGCCCAGGCTGGCCTGAAACTAGCAGTAATCCTGTCTCAGCCTCCTGACTACAAGGATTACAGGGGTGTATCACCATACACATTTTATATGTAATGAACTTCCCATTATGAGTCTGTCCACTGACAGTCATGGAAAAGAATTTAAAAGCCAAATTGACATTGGAAAATTCAGGTCAGAAACTGAGAAATATAAAGAAAATAACACTTGCAAACATCTGGATTTTTGTTTATTTAACTAGGCATGGTGGTTCATACCTTTAATCCCAGCACTCAGGAGGCAGAGGCAGGCAGATCTCTGTGAGTTCAAGGCCAGCCTGGTCTACATAGTGAGTTTCAGGACAGCTGGGGCTACAGAGAGACCCTGTCTCAAAAAGACAGAAAAAAATTTTTTGTTAGGTTCTCACTATGTAGCCCTGGCTATCCTGCAACTCCCTGTATAGGCCAGGCTGGCCTTGAACTCATAGAGACCTACTTTCTCCGCTTTCCAGCTGCTGGGATTACAGGTATGCACCACTATGCTCAGTTTTAAATTTTTAATTTGATTTTTGATTATGTATATGTGTATGTGCACATGAGTGCAGGTGTCTGCAGAGTCCAGAGACATCAGAGTCCCTTAGAGCTGGAGTTACAGGCAGTTGTAAGTCATCCTACATGGGTGCTGGGAACCAAACTTGAGTCCTCTGTAAGCAGTACTGGCTGTTAACTGCTGAGTCATCTCTCTAGCCCTAAGCATGTGTATTTATGTATTTGTCCACTGTTTCACTTTCTTCTTAGTCATTAACTTGTGCAGTTTTTGTAATTCCTCTTTTTCTTTTCTTTTTTTTTTTTTTTTCGTGGTACTGGAAACTGAACCTAGGACTTCATGCATGCCCAGCAAGTTCTTTACCACCGAGCTGTATTCCCAGCTCTTTTTTTGTTTATTTGAGGCAGGGTCTTACTATGTAGGCCTAGGCTGGGTTTGGACTTGCTAGGTATCTCAACCTAGCCTAAAACTCAAGATTCTCCTGTCTCAGCCTTTTGAGCTGGGATTACAAGTGTGTGCCACCATACCTGGCTAGTTTCTTGCAAGTTTTAAGCAGTCAATAAACCCAGTAGTCTATGCAGTATTATAGAACAGAGAACAAGGGAACGCTTTGCAATACTATTTGTAAAGTATAATAAGATGGTCAAGTTTTATAGCAATTAGCAAAACTTTTCTAATCTGATTAATCAGAAAATTTTCTAAAAATATTGGTCCACACATCAAATACTTATGAATACCACTCTCTGAGAGTCTGTGCCAGGAACACTACCTTTAAACAGATAGCTAAGGGGCTAGAGAGATGGCTCAGTGGTTAAGAGGGTGTCTCCTCTTGCAGTGGATTCAAGTACCCACACTGGGCAGTTCATAACAGCCTGTAATTCCAGCCCCGAGGGATCCAATGTCCTTTTCTGGCCTCCACAGACACACATATGTGGTGCGCACATGTAACACAAAAATTACCAGTGTTCATGTCAGGTGGCTCACAACTTCCTGTAACTCCAGCTCTAGGGGATCTGACACCCTCTTCTGGTCTCTACAGGCATGTGCATGTGCATGGTACATACACAGAGACACAACATATATGTATAAAAATAAGTCTTTTTAAAAAGTGAAATTTAGCCGGGCATGGTGGCACATGCCTTTAATCCCAGCACTTGGGAAGTAAAGGCAGGTGGATCTCTGTGAGTTTGAGGCCAGCCTGGTCTACACAGCAAGTTCTAAGCCAGCTGGGGCTACAGGGAGAACCTAATGAAGCACTGTTGAATGAAATTAAAGTAAACCTAAATAAATGGAAAGATAACGCCTTATAAACGATTCAAAGATTGAAGATTGTGAAGATGTCAGTGCTCCCCAAGTTTATCAACAGATCAACCCCAATTCAAAATCCTTGTCAAAATCTTGGTCAATTGCTTTGTAGAAACTGACCAACTGATCCTAAAATTCATAGGGAAATTCAAGGATCTTAGAGTATCCAAAATAATCGTGGAAAGTATGAACTTGGATGATACACACTTTGATTTCAATGCTTAACACAAACCTGCAGTAGCCATGAGTGTGGGTCTGTCATGAGGACGGATCTGCAGGTCATGGACTAGAACTGAGCCAGGAAATAAACCATCACTTTCCCAGTCAATTGGTTTTTGACAAGGAGAGCAAGACAACTTAATGGGGGAAATAGTCTTTTCATCAGTTGGTACTGAGCGATGAGTTTTCAGAAATAGAAAAGGAATAAATATCAGAGGAAAAGAAAAAAGTTCTTAGGTCCTGACCTAAAGAATTAAATAGTGTTGAGCCACTGTGGCTACACTGAGGCCATATTCCATGTTGGCTACACTGAAGCCATATACCATATTTTGGTGCTCCCAGACTCCCGAAGCAGAAGGGCATTC